GAACCCCAAATAGAATTCCTACGCCACTGATGAGAGGTGACGCGACTGAAGTCTGAGTGCCCTAAGCGACCGATCGATTGCGGAGCCATCTAGTTTAGCCACACCTGTGACCCTCGGGTTAGGTGGCCTCGCGTGGGTTTCTGCGCCCTTCGTAGCCAGCCCAGCCAGCCAGCCAGCCACACACACACCCCCCACCCATCGATCGAGGCGGTGTGGCTTCGCTTGTGCGCGGTTTGCTGACCACGACTCTCTCACTCTGTCGGGCCAGTCGGCCGTCTATTTGTGTGTGTGTTTCTGTTGACTTGACCCAACCGCTCTCTGAATCTGATCCTAATACGAACCTAACGCCATACCTATTGTGTTCCTATTTTGAGGGGTTTTCCACGTCGGTGTCACGGTTTCCCACGGTCAGGCCACCCATGTATCTTGACTATCCTGAGTGAGTTATTAACCAGATGATCCTTATAGGGGAAATTTCCTCATGTGAGTACTCCTAGAGAATCTCTGTGGTCTTTTAATTTCTCATTCAGCAGTTCAAACATGAGAGACCGCAAGAAAGCACCACCTTTCCACGAGAGTGAGCTGAAGTTGCTCATGCAACTGTACTGCGATTCTTACGAAGAGTATCATGGACGTGGGCGAGAAAGTGAGTGTTCTCCTTTTCAGTCGCTAATTCCTCTCGCCCATTGAACATTCCTCCATACCTTCGTTCTTTGCAGACGGAAAAAATGGCGGCCAGTCCGATAAGAAGAATTTATTACGACGTTTCGCTAAAGAGGTTTCAAACCTTGGATTTTATCAGCGTACCGAGAAACAGATTGAAGAACGTTTACGAGCTGACTGTAAACGTGTTCGCAAGCATGAGGTAACCCCACTTGTGGCACCAAGAAAGGTCCATTGAGTATCTCACCGATGGACGAACCGCGGCCTAACTATTCCAAACCTTTATCATTACCCTATTTAGCGAGCACGAAGTCATGAAGGACAAGAGGCGGTGCTAAACAGTCTGCCAACATACCTACATCAATTGTATGAATGCCGCAAAAACAAGGCCAACGGTTCCGGTTTATTGGGTTTGTGTGAGTACATATATACTTTAGGAACACGTATCCTTTGCGCTTTACATAATTCACTTTCCCAAGAGACAGTTGCTTAGGTGAGGTTCACTGCAAGATAAGCTCCGTGTTTGAAAGAGTTGAGAAGTGCCAGAAACAGGGTCAATCCTATGTTGCGACAGGTACCAAGGAGGGGAGGGTCGTATTTTGTTGAGCTTGTAGGTGAGGGTCGTATTCGAGTGTGTCGACTGTTCCCAGAATTAAACACCATAGAAACAGCCATGATGGCGAGGGTGGTGAAGGGGGGTCGTGAAATTTTTGACTTAAAGCGGGGTCGTAAAAAATTTCCGAAAGGTCGCTATGGTGGGACCGACCCTGGCCAGAAAGAGAAATGTTTAATAGTCGCAAAGAACAAGGAAGGGTTTCACATAGGGCGAAATGAGGGCGAGAGGGAAGGAGAGCGAGAGAGAGAGGAAAAATTGGCTGTCAATAGGCAAACATTAAATAATGAATAGCAATTTTTCCATGCCGAGGTTCATTGAGCCAACCATGGCAATTAAATAATGATGTTAATAAAGAGGAAGCATGAAAGAAAGATTGAAAGGGAAGGAAGCAAATAAGAAAGACTAAATACATGAATAAACGAACGAAGAGAGAAAAGGTAGAAAGAGGCAAAAGCCTTCTCCATCCCCTCAATAAATGTCATTCTTTTTTCTTTATTGATTTTTCATTCCTGATTATTTTCTGATTTTTGAAGATTTTGGGAGCCGTAGAACGGATGAATTCAGCTAGTGAAATGAGAGGAAGGTAAAGTGGTAAAAAGAGAAGCATATAATGACGAAGCGGACAAAACTTTTGCCTTAGGCGGGAATCAGACGACCTTATCAGTTTCAAATGAGAGAATAAGGACGTATTGCAAGTGAAGAATAAGGATGATAGATGAGGTTTCCTCAGTTTTCCTCCTCTGTCCAACCTCGAGGCGGCCAACTTGAGTACGAGGAACTTGAAAAGTTTTTTGTAGTGTTTTTTATGGTCATTTTATTGAAAATCCGCCCCCCCCCCTCTGAGTAAAGGCCTTTTTCGAATCTCCAACCAGATAACCAAGAATGTGCAGCTTCTAAAAGCTTCGAATAACCACCGGGCTCGGGCGCCCGCGCCTGCAACTTGTTCGGCATACGAGTATATAAACAAATCCGCAAGGCAAGCTCACAAGCACGTTTCTCAAGGTTCTAATGCTCGAGGGAAACGATTATACCCTCGTCTGGGAGGCCGTATTTGATATCTTAAAGGCGCGTTCCGAGATCAGGCGCACGCTCAACTGTTCCATACCCGAAAATAATAGAGCGGCTAAGCTCTGATGTCGCGCTCCTTACGCGGCTTGAAAGTGTTTGACAAAGGGGTTAGGACTTCACTAACCCGCAATCCACTCCTTCGTCCGCAAACCACGCCTTCTCCTGTCGGTTACCACGTGACGCTGCTTGAAAAGCGCGGACGCACTACGATGACAGCGGTTGTATTGCGGTTCAGTGTCAATGACACTGGAGCAACCGGAGCTAGGTTCGTGAAACTCGTCCAACACGCCCTTCTCTATCCCAAGGTGGAATGCGGCTGAAATAGGGGAGGTCTTATTCGGGGCGTAATCGGTGGTTTCTCTTGCTTTCCTTTCTTTTTCTGACCACTCCCCACCTCGGGCTTCATTAGGGAACACTCTTCCACACCTATTTTATCCCGAAGCTTGCCTTTAAGCGAACCGTACTGTAGGAGCGAGCGTTGCTGAGCTTGTTGAATTCTGCGATTTTTGTTGTTGCAGACTTTCACGCTCCCGCCTTATCCTCCGATCGATGTAATTTTCATGGAATGAATAGAGAGAGAGACAGAGAGAGATGTAAAAAGATAAAAGTGAGTGAGAATGAGAAAAAGTGGAAGCAAGGGGGTTGTATGGCTGGGAATTTTCATCATTACACCCTTAAAACAGCTTTTCTGCCATAGCAATATAATGGAATTGAATTTCAGATAAAGATGATGACTATGACCTCAATGAAGAAGATACACCTAGCACATGGAACAAGGTGAGACCTAGAAAGCATGATCTCACTCTTGCAGATCGGTACTGTCTTCCAGTTCTCTTGGCTAGTCGTTCAGGTTGAGGTTATCACCCCTCGTGAAGGCACACCTGCGGCTGAGCAGTCGTCTGGTGAAGGACTTCGCATGGAAATAGAAGACCTTATCGAGGAATCGACCGCCACATCGACGACAACTCCTCTAACAAAAAAATTGCCACGAAAACTCGCCAAAGCAATGTGAGCAGCACCAGGGATACTTATTTACTTTGATACTTTGATAGTCTATCGACTGGTGTTCTTCTCAGTGGGGACCACAGCTATTCCACATAGCCCGATTTTTGGCAACTTGCATCCAATGTAGCACCAGGGTTATTGAAAGTTAAATATGATCAAATAGCTGGCATTTGGCTCGATTTCCTTAGACGGGTGAATTCGTAACGTAGCTTGAACAAAAGCTGCGCCGCGACCGCTCGCGTCCCAATTAAGGTTCAATACATTGACTTAGAGAGAAGCTTATTTTTATGCAAATTTTGAAGGAAATTTTTGCTTAGGAGGATGAGAGAGTCTCCGAGTTCATCCATGGATCAACGATCAGTGTTGTATGAGGAAGAAATCAAGCTGTCAATGCTACGACAACAGTTGGCACTTGAAGAATTAAAGTTGCTGGTGATTAAAAACGATCTTGCTCGAGCTCAACTAGAAAGGGAAACGATAGCCACAGAACGAGAACGCTTTGAACTGGAACGAGCCAAGCATGTATGTTTACAATTCAACCTTTCGAAAAAAAAATTCCCAAGTGATAAAAAAAGTAAAAAGTGAACTACTCATAACTATTGATCATTGATAAACTAATGCAAAGCAATGTGTAGGAAAAGTCAGTAGAAGTTAACCCATGTAAAGGAAGAAACAAACCTAAACCATTCGGCCATAACCAATGGATAACGCCGGTAAAACGTTGATCGCATTCTCTCCAGTCGCTCTTCTATCGAAGCGGTTGCATTCCAATTGGTAAACCTTAAACATGAGAAAGACTAATGCACTTTACTTCTTGTTTTATTTTATTTAAAAATTTATTTCGTTCAACGTGGGTAATTTTGCTTAATATTACTTTATCTAATTTTATATTAATAACCATATTTTATTTATTCTTGGGTTGGGGTTTGGGAATCAAAGTTATAGTCTAGTCTCTCTTAAAATTCTAATCGAAAAAAAAACGTCCTGGTACTGAACACCATCATAAAAGCGAGATTAATTGGCCAAGGAACGAATGTACCCTCCTCTTCAAAAAGCAGAAAGTGTCGGGTGCAGACCATACACCACAAGTGACGACGGCCTCCACAAAATGTAAATGTTTTCTGCCAATGAAATGATTAGCCTGTTGCAGTTGTATTCTATCAGTTGTCACTAATTACAACTATCATTTACCAAAATCAGCTATCACTATGAACCACTACTAACCAGATTTACTTGGAGGCCGTCGTCAGTTGTGGTGTTTGGTCTGCACCCGACACTTTCTCGCTTTTTGAAGGGGAGGGTATTTAGCATCTCATTCGTGCAACAATCCACCGACCCCACGTGGCCGTGTGAGGGGTCACTAGGACAGAAGGCGACTTCTTCCGTTTCGCAGCGCGAAACATTTTTCGCTGCGGGAACCTCGGGTCCACTGCGGTGGACCTGAGGTTCCCGCAGCGAAAATGTTTCGCGCTGCGAAACGCGAAAAAGTTGCTTTCTGTCCTAGCGAACCACAGCCCTTTGTGAGCCACGCAACAGAGTATAGTTATTATATTTTTTTTGGATGGAGCTCGCTCGCTCTCAGTGGAGCCAAGTCGAGATGAACGGTAAATGTCTTCTTATTAAATGTTGACGGTCGATTAGGAGCCATGTATCGGGCTCCCTTTCTATACTTAAAAGCATGACCCTTTTAGCCTCCAGCACAGAATTTAGAAATCTTGGAATTCACCTCGGAATTTATTTTTTGCTTTTCGAAGATATGAGATAAACTGCGCTCACCATTGTGCATCTGGTAGAGGATCTCCTTTCTCTTCAAAAAGTGGCTGCAGGACTCCTCTATAGGGGACCAAATTCGGGACCCATTCAACAATTCCTCCAGCTTCCTGAAATGACTCAAAAGAGTTCATTTTTCTTTTCATGTTGAGATTGAGTTCATGTCTGCTATGAAAACTGTTGCTTTTCAGGAACAATATGCAGAAGAGCTGAAACTATTCTCATTACAACAAGACCTGGCTCGAGCTCAGCTGGAAAAAGAGATGATTGCATTGGAACGTGAACGACTTAAATTGGAGAGGGAGAAAAAGGTGAGAGACCTTAAAGGACTGCGCATGATTTCAAGTCAGGGGAAAGATGGAAAGGATCACTCTGTGTTCAAGGATTTATAGTTGGAGTCGTACTCGCACGCAGCGAACAGGCGGCTATCGCGAATGGTGCGGTACAGTGAGGGTGCAGTCATACTTTGCGACATCTTGGAGTTCGAGTGTAGAGTATATACATATCGATTACACGACCTTACGATAGAACGATCGTATGATCGATACGTATGAACTGCACACTCGAATGTAAATTAAGTGCAGTCGAAAGGTGTGAACGCTCTCCGAAGGCTATGAGATCATACTCCAAACAGCAGAAAAAGAAGCAAAAGCAAGCGAAAGGGTTCACAGGAGACCAGTGGCTGTCATCAGATAGCAGCTCCGTTTGTCTCCTCTTTTTCCACATTTTGCCATACCCTTGCTTCTTGTGCTCCGAAGTTAGCTTACACTGCGCTCTCGTCGAACGACCGCGCCCGGCACGGTGGTCGCTTGGTAGCCGCTGCCGAGTATAACCGCAGCGTTGATTAATTCCACGCTCGGTGGGGTCACAGTTCTTACTTTCCTTCTTCCACTTTTGTAAACTCTGACTTATTCTTGTGCGCTCGTTATCAAAAAATTGAAACACATTCATAGTGCTTCCAATATTGAAAGAATTTTCCAGCAATTTGCCAACCAAGATGGTGAGATTCCGTCCTGAAGGAGTGCTCCAGCCCTCAGCAGATAACTTATTTGGCGCTTCAGATGGTCTTTCTCATTCCATAACAAGCCCGAAGTGTACGTGTACAATATTGAATTCGCTCCTATGGTTGTTTTTATTTCCTGAGAGATTCTTGGTCATTTGCTCGTTGTTCCTTCGTCAATGTCAAATTGGTTCGCAAGATTCATTGTATGATATCATGTATAGCCCTCATACAGGGTCGACGAGCCGCAGCAGTAATACGTGGAAATTGCACGGGCTTTCACAGAGCAGCTTCAGCAACGTACGCTATGCGAGTGCACGCCCATTTTCCATGTATTGCGACGGCGAGTCAACATTGTATAGACCGATTTATTTCTTGTTTTGTTACTGAAGTGTTCGTCAGAGGAGGAAATTCAAATGATATATGCTGAGATGTATAATAGTGGTTGTCCGTTTCCTATGTGATTGATAGAGTGAAGCTATATGTCTTGATGTTCTAATCTTCCACATCTAAGAAATTCAGAAAAATGAGGTAGATGGTTCTCGGTCAGCTTCTCCCATGAAAAAACAACAGACAGTGAAATTTTGGAGGGAGGCGTTCCTAGAATTTGGAGTTGAAGGAAGTCTTTGCAGTGTTGAAATGAAAAACCGCTCCGACGCACAACTCTGTTCAAGGTGAAATGAGTGCGACTTCGTTCCCAGGACAGCCCTGACGTGGAGTTTTTTTTTTACTTGCCCTTCAGTAGATATGAACAAATGTGCAGGAGCCTCCTTTCAAGTGTCCTGAGATGGGGACATCGGAAGAAGCAGGCAAAATGGGGAGCGGACCGTTCTTGAACAAGAAGCTGCAGGAGATAGTTTCAAGGACTAAAGTCAAGATTAGTGTATAGGGGAGACCAAAAAAAAGACATTTTGCCCAGTCGCACTTCGGCTTTTTTTTCTTCGCAGAGATTGCCGTCGTTGACGGAAGTTCCTCAGCAAATATTCCCTAATGTCCCTCTATAAGTACACGCAGGCCCTCCTTCACTACCCTCACCGTCTTCAGAATATGACGTCATCTGTCACCGTCGTCGAGCTCAGGGAGGCCTACAGTAACTGCTTCAGCCTGAAGCTCTTACATAATTTCTTGGATCGATTCAACGTGGATAGTTTCCTAGGGACATTAGCTCTAACTATACAAACCCCCTCGGAATCCGCCCTTCAGAACCCGTCGTATCAGGACACGATCAGTCGAGAACCCCACTGAGCCCGACCAGAGCACCATGTTTCAGGGGCAAATTTTTCTGATGCCGTCCACGTAGATGGCCACTATGATGATTTCTTATGAAATGAAAGCGCTCTTCAATTCTAAGATGGGAGGACACGCTTTGAGCTGACGAGATAAGGTCACCAAGTCGGTCCGGCCATTTGCAATGAGGTGTGTACCTACGTATCTCTTGAACAACTGGAAACGTTGGAAAATAAACTTTTTCTTATCTGCAAACGAACCGAAAACAAGTTAGGGTTTCCCCTTCAACACGTACTTAAACGCGTATATGTAGCGCACGTTGTCTCCCCCGAAACAAAAGCGCAAACGTATCGTGGTTAACGTGGCGCAGGTGGTGACGCTTCAGACTTGTAGGCGAGAGGTCATGGGTTCGGTCTCTCGTGGTGCTTGCTGTTTTGCCTTTGAAAACCATGACCAGAAAAGGCTTTGAGCGACAGTATCTCCTCAATTGCTGCCTTTACCTGTCTGTAATACTTAGCGCACCCTCTTCAGTTAAAGCTCAGATTTAATTGATTTGCCATGACTGAAAACGACGCTCATAGCCCACTGATAAGGTGTTTTTGCGGTAAACGAGTATGATATTCGTGTTCAGGAGACCGAATTTTCCCTGGTTACAAGTTTCCAGCTGAATCTGAGATTTTGACCTACACTCGAGAAAGGGCAGTCAACATACAGTCAAACGAGAGAAGGTATGAATCGAAAACTAACTGGAAAAGCACCTTCCCTGAATTTTGATGCAGAGTCATGTAAATCATTTCCATTATGCGGAAATGTGAGCCGTTGAACGTTTCTCTTTTCAAAATCTGCTGCAGGCAATTCATGCCAAATTCACCGATATTGATGATGGTTGACTCACCTCATTTTTTAGGGTTGGGTCAAAATCTCAGATTCGGTAGGAAACTTATCTCCAAGGGTAGTTTGATCTCCTGAACACGAATATCACGCCTGTTTGCCGCGAAAAAGCCTGACACGTGCATTACGGGCACCATGTTCATACATGGACGACTACTGCCCAAACCTGCAAGGAACTGCTCGAAATTTTTTCGTACAGGGAACTAACGGCAAAGTTGATAAATTAAGAAGTTAGAAGCTTTCTGGCTACATCTTCACGGAGCATCCCTTGCTTTATAACTACGTTCAAAGAATCGTTTAGCAGATAAGGAAGGCAGTTCTGAGCTCAGCGCCTCGAGGCGACTTCAACGGTATACGACTCATTGCAAATGGCCGGACCGGCCTGATGACCTTCCCTCGTAGCTTTTGGTGATCAGCCTTTTGAGTAGACAGAATTCTTTTATCCCCCGTAATCACTTCCTACTGCTGGTTCCAAAAAAAAACTACACAATGAGATTAGGTCGTAGAAAGTTTCAAAAAAGACACCATAAACCTCATCTAACTCAAGTATTACCTGTAGAGGAATGACGCTAAAGGTTCGGACTGTGAGTTGACGTCGGCGAGCGTCCGCATTCTGCCTCATCAAGCTGTTCATCATCTGAATCGTTCATCGACAGAATCTTTTCCGAAAGAATATGTGAGAAAATGTGTCAACACCGGACTAAACATACGCCTAATTTAAAGCATTAAACAATAGATAATGTGACCAAAATAAAACCGAATATCGCAGAAAATCTGCTAAGAGACAGTCAAGAAATGACAGAAATTTGACGAGCAAAGCCGAACGAATCAAAAGAAAAAACATAGAAGGAATTCGGGTCAACTTTAACTCTCACTGTGGCTAGAAAAATTCCTAGTTTTGTACATTCCATTTTACTAATTTTCCCTCATCTCTGTTACAAAGATCATAGTGTAACATGTGGGTGCATTTGGGGCTCTCTCCCTTCTCTATCCTCGGAAGGGCGCCTTCACTTTTTACAACACGAGCCATCACTCACCGTGTATCCTTAATACGTCGCATTCGTTCCTCACTGCGCTTGATCCTACCCTCGTCGTAGCGAGGCGAGATTGTGCGGAGGATAGTTGGAAATTGTCAAAACTTCATCACCATTGCATCATCACATCTCTCTCACCACAGAATAACAAACACACCTCTCCCTCGGAAAGTTTCAGGAATCTGATTGATAGTGGCTGGTTTCGCTCCGAATCCACAGAGGCTGCTAACGAACCAAAAGAAAACGAATTTTTTCGACAAATCGACTCGTACGCAAAAATCTTCTCTGTCAAAGAAATTGTTGAAAAAAGCGGGGGGGTGGGGGGGGGGGGGGGGGGGGGTTGGGCGGGAAAAAAACATTTCAAGAAAATCGCATTGTGTTCGTCTTAATGCCGTATCAAAGAAATATGATTCGTTAGCCCAGAATTTTCTAGTTCACACGTTGGCCTTATTTTTTGACCCTGAGGAGCACCTACCAATGTTGCATCGTGTCATTATTTTTGATGTTGGACAATATACAGGGGGGGGGGGGGCAAAAAAAGACATTTTGCCCATGTCGCACTTCGGCCTTTTTTCTTCGCAGAGATTGCCGTCGTTGACGGAAGTTCCTCAGCAAAATATTCCCTAAATGTCCCTCTATAAGTACACGCAGGCCCTCCTTCACTGCCCTCACCGTCTTCAGAATATGACGTCATCTGTCACCGTCGTCGAGCTCAGGGAGGCCTACAGTAACTGCTTCAGCCTGAAGCTCTTACATAATCTTGGATCGATCAACGTGAGTCAGTCGAGAACCCCATTGGGCTTGACCAGAGGCCGTCCACGTAGATGGCCACTAGGAAGATTTTCTTATGGAATGAAATGCGCTCTTCAATTCTAAGTTGGGAGCACACGCTTTGAGCTGAGCAAAGTGTGATTAAATCCATTTGAGTCTGGAGACAAAATGTCTTTTTTATTGCCCCTCCCCTGTATACTGTCTGAAGAGATCTTTATAGAACATTTGAGAAGGACTATCAAATCTAATACAACTTCCCACCCGCTCAAATTACTGCTAGAAAAACAATGAATTCTCACCCTATTCACGTCCATGAAACGAGCATCCTTGCGTAACTCATCATTTGGTTTGCACATAATTAAATATCGACGTCCATCGCCACCTCCGAAGTGCTATCCTCTTAGGCCTCAGCAGTGATTTCAGTACCTGAAAGTTTCTGATTCGAAAAAAATTCAAAAAACAAACATAATTACACTCCATACTTCGAAATCTGATTAGGCGTGTTTATGTGTTTGACGGGGTCTCATCCAGTAAGGGGGGGGGGCATTGTGATGCAACGTCAAGTGGCTGCCCTCACCCCCACCCCCTAGACTGCCTTCACTCCCCCTGGCTCACGGGGTCCCGTACTTCGAGAAACCTGTGCGCCAGGGGGAGTGTAGGCAGTCTAGGGGGGTGGGGGGTGAGGGCAGCCACTTGATGCCCCCCCCTTACTGGATGAGACCTGTTTGCGTGGCGGTGGCCACACTTGATAGAAGTTGCGCGGATAAGCTGCTTCCAGCATGCTTTGCTGATATCCAGCGGAGTATGTTGCAAACAGCTTATCCACACGACTTCTATCGGCGGCCACGTCAAATCCACCGACATGCCTAATCTGACTTCGAGATATGGACTGGATGTGATAGGCCGAAAGTGTGCTTGGTGAGAGCAGAATCATCTCGGATTGAATATAACGCACAAGGTAATCTGGATCCACACTTGCAATGAACACCTCCGGCAACTCGGTGAGTGATTCGGTCGGTGTAGATGTGTCCATCACGAACTGCGAGAATCGGCACACCTTAAAGATTCTATTTGTTGAGCCCTTCGATGTCAGT